CAGAATATAAAGTTGTGAGTGTGATCGCGTCTGCTGTTTCCTGTTTACAGTAAAACCAGTCACTTTGAGACTCAAGTGTTCAAACGATCAGAGCTCTGCACTTCTAGTTTAAATACAAGTCAAAACTGTGTTATTATTATTTGTGAAATGTGGTGAATACTTCAGATACATGATTTTAAGGTATAGAAGGTTGGAGATAAAGTACAAAGGAAGTAGAGTCACTATCATTAACCTGCAGCTTCACCTCGATCCGTGCGCTGTGAATGTAAACAGACACACGTGAGGAACTACTCTTGCCTTTTTACTTTTAAAGAACACCTCAAACTGGATTAACAGTGCAGTTTTGTGGACTGGGTGTCATTATTTGCTCAGGACAATTTCTATGGATGAGACGCTGCAGAGGTGAGTAATAAAGTCGCCTCATTATTTTCTCTGTTTACTTTGTATTTTGCGCCGCTGTGTCCGTCACTCCTTCTGCTCCTGACGCTGTTCTATTCGACGTTGCTGTAGCGTTGCTGATGGTTGGTTTCAGAATCACCACACATGAGGAGTGCAGCGGCTTCAAAATCGCACACGAAGACTCAATGTCAGGTCACACTTACCCGAAATCAGGGAGAAGCAAATCACAACCAAAATCGGGCAAATTCTCCTGTAGTGTGTGACGGACTTTAGTCTCAAAAACGATTAAAGTAGCATATCGAGTCATGAGTCACGTTCAACAGAAGATAGACCATTTATCATTTTTTGTTCTTCTATTCTTTACTTTCTTTACTAAACAAAATGATCTCAAACAAACAACAAAACCCCAAGTTTCCATTTTAGTCAAAGCGTTTTATAGCAAAAAACAATTTAATAACTGATAGGATTTCATATTGGAATGGCTAATGCTAATTCAGAGTCGAGCACTTTGCGCAGCTCATTTGCAGTTATGATCTTATGCTAATTAGACCTTGATTGCATTTACAAAAACATCCGAATGCACTAGACTTATACTGAGAAACAGATGCTCGAGCAGAGGAGAGGAGAGAGGGAGGGCGCTTAAAAGACCAAAATCAAAACAAAGAAAACACGATGACGTTAAGACAGAAGAAACAGCTCCACAGCAGAGTTAAAAGTGCATTTCACCATGGAGATGTTGTTGCTTTGTCTGGAATGTTCCACAGTATGGCATTAAACCTTTCTATCTTCATGGAAACCAAACCAGACTGAGTTACAGGTCAGATCTGTGGAGAGGCGACCCCGCTCACAGCCAGAATGTCTGTTTTTATAGATATTTTTGAGCTATAAAACCACCTGTAACTGAATAAATGTAAATAAGTTAAGTAAAGTAAATCAAGTTTCCATCTCACCTGACAAGAAGAGTTTAGGGCACAACATTGTAACTTTTAAACTGAAGAAAACCAAGATGCCTTTCTTTATGGAGGTGTGATTGCTTCATCTGGAATGTTTCGCAGTATTTTATTAAACCTTTCTATCTTCGTGGAGACCAAACCAGACCAGGTTGCACACTGCAAAAAGTCAAATCTAACCAAGTTCAGGTGACTTGAATTAAGGAAGTTTCAACACAACTTGAGTCCATTTCACTTGACAAGTAAAATTTTCTGCATCATGGAACAAGACTTTTTGTAGTTAAAATATGAAAATACATCTTACTACATTAAAGGTCCGTGTAGCACTCATTCACTCGTTTTTCAAAATAAAACCAAAAATAAGAAAACACAACAGTTTTCTTCATTATTTGTCACCAAAACCAAAAGAGCGGATAATTATTTATTTATTTTTTTTTCCAGTTTTCGATCTTGTGTTTAAATTAATAATGGAAAAAATTTGATAATTTCCCGTTTACGTGACTTAAACTGGTCACCCAACAGTGTGTGCAGGCTCAACTCTGGGCCCATCCCAACAGTCCTGGTTTAGTCCTGGTTTAGTCCTGGTTTAGTCCTGGTTTAGACCCTGGTTTAGACCTTTAGACCTGGTTCAATCCTGGTTTAGTCCTGGTTTAGTCCCTGGTTTAGACCTGGTTTAGACCTGGTTTAGACCTGGTTTAGTCCTGGTTCAGTCCTGGTTTAGTCCTGGTTTAGTCCTGGTTTAGTCCTGGTTTAGACCTGGTTTAGACCTGGTTTAGACCTGGTTCAAACCTGGTTTAGTCCTGGTTCAGTCCTGGTTTAGACCTGGTTTAGACCTGGTTTAGACCTGGTTCAATCCTGGTTTAGTCCTGGTTTAGACCTGGTTCAGTCCTGGTCCTGGTTTAGTCCTGGTTTAGATCTAGTTTAGACCTGGTTTAGACCTGGTTTAGTCCTGGTTCAGTCCAGCATCGCAGTTTAAGTCACGTAAACGTAAAACGGCCGTTATCTGTTTTTCCCATTATTCATTTAAACACAAAATCAAAAACTGAAAATCTAATCATTATCAGTTTTTTTTTGTTTGTTTGTTTTTTTCATTTTGGTTTTGGAGACAAATAATGAATACAACTGTTGTTTTTTGTTTTCTTATTTTTGGTTTTATTTTGAAAAATGAATGAAAGAATGATACACCAACAACTCTCTGCATTTAAAATAAGAAGCAAAATCTAATGTTGCGTGAATGAAGAAAAACAGACTTATTGCGTTGGTAGATCATTTTACTTGTCAAGTTGAATCTACTAAATAAAGTCAAAAGTTCTTAATTTAAGTCATTTTAACTTGCCTAGACATTACTTTTTTCAGTGCAGGTCAGATCTGTGGAGAGGTGACCCTGCTCACAGTCAAAATGTTGTTTTTCTAGTATTTTTGAGCTGTAAAACCACCTGTAACTGAGTAAATGTAAGGTCGAGCTGTTTAATGTCACACTGTGGAAAATTCCAGGAAGCGCAATAACATCTCCGTAGAAACAAGCAGGTGACGGACCCCCAACCGAAAAAGCTCCAGAGTGCACCTTTAAACCACAGCACTGCACTGTTACATAACATGAGGGGAGCAGGGAAGGGAAAAGTCATCTGCATTTTTGCTTCATGTGTGAAAATCCGAGAGTGAGTTTGACGAAAGGAGCAGATCTCACAGGGAAATGTCGCAGTGGTGAAAAGTACTTTGCTTCTTTGATACTAACACAACCAGTCAAAAGTTTGGAAAGTTTGCGTTAAAGGGCACATATTGGGCTATTTTCTGATCTGTTCTGATGTTTCCTCGTCACAAACAGACCTGGAGTTAGTGTTTCGTTGCGTTTGGATCATTTTAGCTCTGGAATCTTTACTGAACAAAAAGGTAAAAGGAGCTGTTAAGGGGCGTTCGCACCAGAGCGTCAAAGCGTTGAGTTTCTAAATTCTAAAGTCTAGGGCGTCCTGCGTTTTTGTCAACCAATCAGGGACGAGTATCCAGTGACGCAGTGACGTTATTATCAGGAAGAAAGACCCGAGAACCGGAGCGACAGCCACAAACATGAGCGGAGCATAAATATATACATCACAATCACAGAGCGGATCACGAGGACTATACCAAGACCGGACCAGGACTAAACCGGGTCTAGACCAGGACTAAACAAGGACTATACCAAGACCGGAGCAGGACTAGACCAGGACTACACCAGAACCGGACCAGGACTAAACCAGGATTAGACCTGAACTAAACTAGGACTAGACCAGGACTAAACAAGGACTAGACCGGGACTAGACCAGGACTAGCCCGTAACTAGACCGGACTAGACCGGGACTAGACCAGGATTACACCGGGACTAGACCAGGACTAGAAGGGACTAAACAAGGACTTGACCAAGATTAGACCGGGACTAAACCAGGACTAGACCAGGACTAAACCAGGACTAGACCAGGTTTAAACCAGTACTAGACCGGGACTAGATCAGGACTAGACCGGGACTAGGCCAGGACTAGACCGGGACTAAACCAGGACTGATCCAGTGTCATTAGTGGAGTATAAATAAATATACGCCGCAGTCGTCGACCCGATCGCCTCCGCTGATGGTTTCATGTCATAAAAACACTAAAGTCTCTCTCAGTCTGGTCTGACACCATTTTGGGAAAAGACCGGGACCGGGCTCTTGTTTCCAGGGCAACGGACGAGCGTCAAGTAAACTGGTATTGCTTCATCACATGACAACGTGGAACAGAAATTTGAACTTTGGAGACTAATACACAGACTAATAATAAAGAGTTATTCAGACATGTGTGAATGAAACAAAACACAACTCCAGGTCTGTTTTTCAGGTAACAACTTTATAAAATAGATAAAAGCTCAAAAGCGTTAATATAAGTAGCAGAGTTAGAAATTTGGGGACCTCAGGCAAACTTGAGTTTGGGGCCCTCACTATAATGCACCTTTTTTTTTGTTGTTTTTTTTTGTTTTGTTTAAAATATTTATTGTCTGTTTTTTCCCCATTGTTCTTGAGACACCTCATCTCTTTTTATTTAAATTATGGTGGATTGGAAACTTGTCTTATTAGTTCAGTCGCCTACTAGATAACCAGAACTGAAAGTAATTTTATTATTTTTCTTGTACAGTTACATTTTTGTTTACATCCATTACATCTGATGATTATTATTTTTCTTATGATTATTTAAAAGTAAACTATTGTCATTTAATGTCATATTGAGAGAAAATCTAATTGCTCTGAGGCCTGGACCATTAGTGGCACTGAAGGTAAATGTTTGGGGGCCCCTTCAGGTTTGGGGGCCCTCAGCAGCAGACTACATTTACCTAATGTTAGCACCGCCTCTGGTTAATACAGGATTTTTATGTAGTTACTACGCCTGCATCATTCTTAATAAAAGGATTTGTTATTCATTACTTATTATTTATTAAGTTTTTGTTCATGCTTTATTAAAGGAATTATAGGTAACTACACAAATTAATCTGTGTCCCCAGAGTCTTAACCTGCAGATAGAGAAACATCCAAGTCTGTCTGTAGTTTCAAATAAATATATAGAGTACTTCTTCCACCGCGTATTGTCTGTACACAGAAGGGACAGCAGATGGGAGTGATGTTGTCATGGTTACAGGGCTATACTCTACCTGTGATGGTGTAGCTGACAGAGAGCAGGGGGGGCACGCTAGGCTTCTGCTGGGTCTGGCTCTGAGCCGCTGGAAGTACAGGGACACACAGGGACGTTAGCTGGACAGTCTAAAGAGACTAAGGCACTGTACTGAAGAAGAAGAAGAAGAAGAAGAAGAAGAAGGCACTAGAAGGGAGGGGCCAGGTATCGGTTCTAATATCGGTAAGGGTGACGTCAGAGGGATTTCACAGGTGTTGTTGTGTTTTGGTCTTATCTAGAAAATGCCGATATCTTTTTAAAATCCCGATGACGTGATCGGTCTGCTTCGTGATCACATTTGAGTTATGTCAAGGGTGTCCTGTAGGGAGCAGTGTATCAGTGTGTTGGATAGAAACTATAGTCTGAATAAAGGCATGGACAAAGGGAGTGTGACGTCATCCATAGTGTTCAGCTCCAGTCAAATGAAGCTCATCGAGGCTGATTTGGTGACAAGTTGCATATTAGATACAGGAATTAATTTATGGACAAAACAACAAAATAAAAACAGCAGCATCATGAAGAGAGGGTTAATACAAACATTTTGAGACAGCAGCAGTTGTAGAGAGACGGATGTTTTTTTTTTATACAAAGTGACTTAGAGCCAATTAGAGTCAGTGGAGCTGGAAGCAGGCCCATGATCACATTTGTCATGTCCATTTATTTAAACGTCTAAGGGTGTAACAGTACACAAAAATCATGTTTTGGTATGTACCTCGGTCTTGAGGTCAAGGTTCGGTTCATTTTTGGTACATTATGGGAACAAAATGCAATAAAAAACATTTACTTGTTGTTGATTTGTGTGTTTATTAAAGCAAAAATAGCAATAGCAATGGGCAAATAAAATAAATGCAAAGCGCTGCTTGGTAATACTAGTAAGTTAAATTAAATATTCTCAAATAAGCAACAAATGTGTGAAATATTATTAAAAATGAATTCCTTGTAAACAGTAAACAAAACTTTTCAAAAAGTAAAGTGCAGCACTGACAGTTCCAGCATGAAATTTTACTCAATCTTCATATTTTTGGCCAGAAGAAAAACAACTTGTCCACATTGTCTGCAGTAAGTGCAGATTTGCTGGCAGGTACAATGTCTCCAGTGGTTGAAAATCCATTTTCTCTAGGGACAGAAGTTGCAGGTATGGGAGGAGGAGGCAGAGATTCCATGCTGGCCAAAGGGGAAAGTGTGGACCGTGGAGTAACGACCGTAGTTTTGGTTCGTAGGGATATAGTCAAGGCGGGTGGCAATTGTTGTCAAGGCATCCATCTTAACAGTAAAGTGCAGCAGGAAACACTGTCACCCCAAACTGGGATGAGTTCCCTCGTGAATATTAAAGAGCTGAGCCTCTGTGTAGCTGCACATGTAGTGGCCGAATGTAAACACACAAATTGCGCAAACTCACTTGTGCGCAGCCCTGCACCAAACCCAACATCCTGTACCAAAACGTTTGGCACATATACATGTACCGTTACACGCCTAATACTAGGGCTGTGCAAAAATATTAATATATTGATATACTGATATATCGATATATCGTATTGTTTGTGTGATGATACAGTATCGATATCGTGGGCTGCTGTATCGATATATCACCAAGAGTACTTTGGGGTATGTTTTCACTAATTATTTTATCACAGCACTACAGTTTTGTTGCTTGTTCAGAGGAAGGAATCTTTTTTATGCAACACATTTGACATTTGGGTCCGGTCAAGCAGAAGTAAACAACAAGACCAAAAATTCAAGTTAATACATCTGATATAAAAATGTATTGAACAGATACATATGTACTCTAGTTTATGAAACTGTTGACCTTTTTTCTGTACCATTTTTGGTTCTAAAGTTCCATACGTTTTAAACAGACCATGTATGAAACATGGAACAAAAATCATGTAAATAAATGGATGTATTTCATCATATCTTGTGTTATTCGATTTTTGAACTGTTGATGAAGGTACATGATTTTTCAAAAAAAAAGTATTTAAAATGATAAAAATTTGCTTGGAAGGACTGACATATTTTATAGAAATAGTTTCCTTTCATTTTGAAGTAATATTAAAGTATTCAGAAGAAAAAAGTTGACAAATTATATAAAATCCTGCACCTTCTACTTGTTTGTACAATTTTCCCTCCGTTACTTTTCCCTCCGTTACCATGACCTTTCTTAATAAAAAATCTCATGAGTCAAAAAGTAAGAGGTTTTTCAACCTAATCTTGTACCATATGGTAGAAAACTATATGAAGCAAATATTCAAACCAGTTTGTTAAGGATATGGAAGTGAGAACCAAGAGTTATCACTGTTTGGATTTATTTCCCAAAAAGTGCTGCATATTTCATTCCCTCCGTTACCGACATGAGTTTTTAAATTTTTTGTCAACAACTTGAAAGAATATCACAGGTTTAACTTGACCCTGTTGGAGTGTAACTCTTTCCTACATTCTGATACTTTACTTATTTCAATAGTCCCTCTAGTTTCTGAATAAGAGACATTTGAATGTCAAAAATCTGCCCCTGTTTCCCTCCGTTACCACTTGACCGGACCCATTTTCACTGTTTTGATGATTAAAATGGGCATTTTTCAGATGAACTTTGCACAAGAAGTGGTTTAACAAACACTTTCAGTATCAGAGCCATGATTTAGCTTTTGTTTTTTATTGAACCATATTGAAACAATTTGAAATATATCGTATTGAACCAAAAGTGCACTGTACATGTGCATATGTATCGTATCGTGGCCTTTGTATTGAGGTATGTATCATATCGGCAACTTCTTAATGATACCCAGCCCTACCTAATACCTTCTATGATAAAAATACAAAATAATGTCAGGTTTTATAAATATATAGGCCTAATGAAATATGAAGATTGGGGCGGCTGACCTTGGTGTTTTTTATTTTGCTGTTTTATTCATAAATCAGATTTGAACATTAATAGTTGACAAACTGGGCATCTTCTATCTCAGAGATCTGATTTACAGCAGATACTCACGGTCAGAATTCCAAATATGGAACTTGGCTGAAAATTCTCCCCTATATATAGCACTAAAATAACTTAAGGTCAGCAAGACGTTCCATAAGTGCGAAAACACATTATCATATTTTGTGAGAGGCGAAGTGCTGGGGAGTGTGGTCGGGCAGCGGACTTGAGTGAACAGACGTCTCTCATTGATCTATCCTCTGGTCAGCTCCATTCCACTGTAAGTACGACAGAGCGCGGGCCATAATCAGAACGTATTAACATAGCCATGCCAAATGACTATTGATCTCCTCATACGCAGCCAAAAGTGCTGAGTCCACAACATTTCAAACAGCCTGATGTCATTCCAATGTGTTTCTAAAGCATACATATTCATAGATGATATTTTTAGTTCACAACACAATATTGGAATCTGGCAGCTGAACAAAGTTTGGAAGAGTCATTACAGCTGGCCACTCATGCAAGAGGCTTCTTCACTTCTGAGTCTGAACATAGACAATTCTAGACGAAGGCTACGTTCAGACTGCAGGGCTTAACACGCAATTCGGATTTTTTTTTTAAATCCGATGTTTTTGCGAGGTTGTTCACATTTCCAATTAAATGCGACTTGTATGTGACTCCAGTGTCTCGTACCAGAGCCAGAACATGAACAACTTACTTGTTTTAAGGAGGAGATTGAGAAGGAGAAGGACGAGGTTTTTTGGCCGTGGTGTTTTGTGGGACAGCGGCAGCGACGTTCATTGAAAGGAACATGTGGATGTGGAGACGGAGCCAAGAGTGGTGAGTGGTGATGTGCTTCGCTTCAGTGACACGGAGTTCATTAACAATTTTCGCCTACTTCAGCGCAGAATAGTGACGTTTGTGGCTTGTTGATAACGTGTAGGTCGGATGAATGCACTTTGGCCGTTCAGACTGAAGTCACATGTCAAAAGATCAGATACAGGTCACATAGGGGCCAAAAAATTGGATTTGGGTCACTTCAGGCTGCAGTCTGAACGCAGCCTAAGTGGACTAAGGGAGTGTGGCGCCGTCCATAGCACTTGGCTACAGTCAAATGAAGCTCATCGAGACTGGCAGTATGAGCTCTATTCAAGCTTATGTCACAAACCAGGAAGACGTTTGGAAAGATGTGATTACAATTTCTGGCAGGGTCTGTTTGTGGTAGTAAGTCTGACAGTTTTCTTCATCTCTATGTCATTGTTGTGTTCCGTTATGTTCGGCTAATCAACAATTTCAACCATACCTCAGTTTTCATCATTTCCCCACTCAACAACTCTGAGCACACTGGGTACATACGATTAGAAGAGATGAGGGGTCAAATTCCAGACAATTCCAAACAGTGCATGCGTTTGCAATCTGATCACATTTACTTACAATGCATTTTACCACAGTTAGTCAGCGAGCCCAGTGTCGGGAACTACACCGGAAGCTCTCTTTGCATCTTTCCAAATGTCTTCCTGGTTTGTTTACGTAAGTGTGAATAGGAGTAGCCTATTAGGGGCAAATTTGGAGCTGAGTTCCATATTTGGAATTGCAACTGCCAGTATCACAAAGAGCCAATCAGGAGCAAGGCTGCTGAAAGTGTGAGCGCTTAGCAATGCTGTCAATCAAACCTCTGGGAAGAAGACACCAGATTTGTCAATTATTAATGTTCATATCTTGATTTAGGGACCAAATAGCGAAATAAAAACACCAGTATCATGTAGAGGGAGTTCATATGAACATTTTAAGACCAAAATGATGAGGCTCGCTGCAGCAGTTACAGAGATGTACCATCTACAGGCAGTAGGGGAAATTATTATTCAAACATGCTAGACAACTTGGGTCAGCAAATAATGAGATACAGACTTTTACCTGTGACGCCACAAAACTGGGAATATCACCATTACATGTTTTTATGTGGCTTTTACTAAACAAGGGTGAGTAAAGCAAAATACAACTACAATAACAATGTTATAACAAGTTTACAATGTCCAAAAAGTCAATTCTGCATTATATGTGTTTAAATCTACTGAATTACACTAAGGTGTGAACTGCCACCTGAGTCACATTTTGCATTCAGAAAAAATAAGGCATTG